AAGCTCAGACAGCGCGGATTCAGGACGCCGTTGCCTAGCATCCATCTGGCGAACCTCCGCTCTCTACCCAACAAAACGGACAAACTCCTTCTGCTCTCCCGGATAAATAAGGATTTTTTAAACTCTGCTGCTCTGTTTCATGGAAACCTGGCTGAAAGACGCCATTCTGGACAGCTCGTTGAGTCTCCCGGGCTTTCAGCTGTTCAGAGCGGATCGCGACGCAGAATCAACGGGGAAATCACGCGGCGGCGGGACATGCTTTTACATCAATGAGAGGTGGTGTACAGATGTAACTGTGTTAAAGAAGATGTGCTGTTCAGATCTAGAAGTGCTCTTCATTAACTGCAAGCCGTTCTATTCGCCGCGGGAGTTTTGCTCATTCATTCTCGTCAGTGTCTACATTCCTCCGCAAGTGCACATGAGCTCAGTTTTACAGAAACTCGCTTATCAGATCACAGACACAGAACAACAACACCCGGACTCTGTTTTAATCATTCTCGGGGACTTTAATAAAGCAAATCTCTCCCGTGAACTGCCAAAATACAGACAGCACATCACATGTCCCACCAGAGACAGTAATATATTGGATCACTGTTACACAGCAATAAAGAGCTCGCTTATCTCTGATCACTGTTTGGTTCATCTTATACCGACCTACAGGCAGAAACTGAAATCAGCTAAACCTGAATTAAGGACTGTAAAAAGATGAACTAATGAAGCAGAGCAGGATTAAAAGCTTGTTTTGACCTCACTGATTGGAGTGTTTTTGAAGCTCTCTAAAGTGTTTTCTTCTGTGCTACTGTGCAGCTACTGTACCATACACATATACAGCAGTGGCATTCCGTCCATATAAGCTGTGAATTCTCCGCATACTCAGGCCATTTGAGAGAATAAGTTCATGGGATAATTCATATAAACATGATTATAAGTTGATCCCTTGTAATTTGAAATGTAACTTAAGGCCTAAAGAGTTAGGAATAAGTACGTACAATGATTTATTTGCCAAACGGCAGTCATTTTCTTTAAATTTAACAGTTGTGGTTGCTTCCGGGCGAATGGATTCTCCTCAGCTTTCTCGCCTCTGCTCTGTTGCTATGACTCGTCAGGATTGATGCACGTTCTCAGTGATTTGCTGGTCTGCGGAAGATTTCATGCGCGGAGTAGCCTAATGCCGAGTTCACACTGCACGATTTTCAAAGACGTCGCATCACTGTTGGTTTCACACTGAACGACTATCTGGGGTAGCATTCAGTTGTTGCTGTGTTCACACTGCACGATGGAACGAGACAGGAGGTTACACACTGCATGACTTTACAATAGGAAGAATCGCTGACAGCTCTGTCTGGTGCAGGGTTGCCAGGTTTTCGCTACAAAACCCGCCCAATTGCTACTCAAAACTTGCCTGAAAATAG